CAAGATCAGCTAAGAGCAATTAGACACCTGACCTCTGAACAACCTAAATCACCTGATGTCAACCTTAATTTACCTGCTTCCATCTCTGACAACAAGTTTGACACAGCTATTAGAATGATCAAGACTAGCAAGGCTGCTGGGCCAGATAAGGTATTCCCAAAATTTGCCACCAGCCTCAGAACCACAATGAAAAGATGGCTTCAGAAATTCATGTATAAATGTCTAGAAAGTAACAAAGTTCCAAAAATCTGGGAAAAAGCTGACATCATTGCGATCCTAAATCCAATACACTGCCAGAAAATCCAAGAGCTACTGAGCCATCTCACTATTCTGCATTACTTACGAACTCATGGAGCACATAATCCTGAATACAATAGAGAACATAATTGATCCCCAGCTCTGAAAAGAACAAGCTGGCTTTCAGAAAAAGAGTGGCGTGCCACTGACCAAGTTATATTACTTATATTGGACATAGAAAACAGTTTTGAAATGAGGCAGAAAACAGGTGCAGTATTTATTGACCTTATAGCTGCCTATGATACTGAATGGCAATGAGGCCTCAAATATAAATGTCGTAACCAAATGAGTTGAGTGCCCCTGTTACAATAGAACTGTCTTGAATAACCGCAGTTACTTTTAAATTTGGTCATGTTCCGCCTCATTAGTATTCAGTCTGTTATTGGCTACTCCGGACATATAAAAGTTCATGCAGCTTCTGCCCAAGTCGGAGACCTCTGAGCACGCGGCAGAATAACCACGGAGAACTCTGTAGCGCGATCGAGGAAACTTGGTGGACTGATCACCCACCGATATCTCCCCGTCACCGGGTCCTTTTGGCATACCCCGCTATCCTGCAGGTTCCTTTTCGTTCGTAAACTCATTAACTCGTCACTCGTTTTGCTATCTGTGACAACGCAAGCAAGCTACCTCGAGGCCTGCGCTGCCATTCCATGTGGCGTAAGTAAAAGCAATCTTTTAGAACCAATAAGCTGTCTCGCCTCTCCATCACTGGCCCGCCTGACGTCCGATTAAACTAGCGATCCTCGGGTCGGCTCCGGCCGCCCGAGACAAACTGCACTGTATGATACCTGGCTGCACGGTATATACTTTCATCATGAACACGATCTCTGGCAGATCATTCAAACTCACAACTAGCCAAGGAGAAAAAAGCAGAGTACAAACTGAAGAATGGAATCCCCTAATGGTGAGTGCTAGCACCAATACTTTTCAGCGTATATACTTCTCATATATAACATTTAAGTGATACATGCACATTACCATAGAAGGAATTGTCAATTCCTTGCACTGCATACATGACAGAACTTGAAAAGTTACTGACTACTAACTTCAAACTCATTGCTGACTATCTCCACAAGTGGCATTTAAAAGTTGAGCATCAATAAATCAGTATCATCATTCTAACACCTGGACAATCCTCAAGCTAAGAGCACACTAAATGTCCAAGTAAGTCTCCTGCATAAGCATACCCCAACTTAGGGTTTACATTAGACCATTCCCTCACCTATAAGCATCATATTCAGAAGGTCATCAGTAAAGTCTCTGCACGGGTAGCTGCCTTAAGATGTTTAGCCAGTACGATATGGGGTGCCGACTTCAAAGTGCTCAGAACCACCACACTTGCAATGCCCCAGCAGATTGTGCTCCTCTATGGTCCAGAAGTTGTCACACTAAAGAGCTTGACACTCTACTTAACAGTTTGCCGAGACTCATAACAAGCTGCTCATCTTGCGCACACACACACAGATGGATTTCCTGTGCTCTTATATCACTTGATCTAATGCCTAAGACAACAGATCCTAACATCATTACTGGCAAGAAATGGTGAAAATAATGTGCTCCATCAGCTGCTAACTGAAGACCTGAATAGATGGAAGCTTAAAGTTGTAAACCATTTATACATGAAGCCCACAAGCTCCTGGAAGAGATTGGGGATGCTGAACCAAATCTATAGGCATCAATGGAGTGGGCTGACTGCTGGGAAAGGTTAGACCTATTCCTACAGCATTTTATACCAACACAACCTCATTGGGCACAACCTTGACAGAGAAGCATGGGCCAAGCTGAACAGATTGAGATCTGGATATGAATGCTTCAAAACAACACTTTACAAGATGAACATCTTGGACAGCCTCCTGTGTGAATGTGATGTCCATTAAATAGCTCAGCACTTGACTGAAAGCTGCAGTTCTACAAATGCCCAGACAGGGCAGATGGAATCTGCACATTGAGTGATTATACCAGACAGTGGCTCATAGATTTCAAAGTTGATGTCTAATACCATACAAGAGAGAAGGAGAGCTAAGAGTAACCTTCTGCAAGTACCATCAGTGTGCTGAGTTTACTTGGCAAAACCATGTGGATCATTCCTAGTAGTAGACTCTTCCCTGGAACTCTGTCCCCATTGTTGGTCACTAAATCTCAGAGTGCTGCAAGACCTTTTTATATGGGCAAACATTTAGCAAGCAGGGTTAAGTAGTGATAATTTCTGAGGAATGTATGCTATCCAAGTGTAGGTCTCATTTAATATTTCATCTGCTTTGACAAGTTGTTTTGTTTCTGCTCCCTCTCCCCTCCCCTCCCCTCCCCTGGGGTAAGCCCTAAGCCTTTTTTGGGGAAGGGCAACCTATAAATCTAATGAATGTGTAACCTGAGCAGTACTTCAAGAGGTACCCCCTCTCCAATTGAAAGGATCAAAGCAGGTGCACAAGCACTGTGGCAGGTGTAGGGACTCTCCTCCCCCTATAGAGGGGAGCCAGACCACCAATGGGGCCTTAACCATATACCTTTTAATGGAGAGAACAATACTGGGAACATAATCAGTATAAACCAGGGGGTATAGGGGACACTATAGTGCCAAGGGGGCAGGATTCAACAAAGGTTAGAAACTTACAATCATAGACATTCATCCAGTTGATGAAAGAGGGTTAATCAATCAAAGTGTAAAGCACAAACAGCAGAACAAATAGTACTGGTTGGTGAAATATAAAAAGGCATAAAATACAAAAGGTCAAGTGACAAGGAATATAGGGCCTAGGTACCTAGAGAAGGAGAAAACACAATAGCCCCTTTCCATTGCAAGATTTTCTCCCAGTTAGCTTACTCACCCCAAGTCACCCTACTTGGGACTTGAACTCAGACCTCCTATGTAGCAGGTAGACACTCCACCACACAGCCACCAGTGCTGGCACTGCTTTAGCCTGCTAGGGGTCTTGACCTTCTTGGAGCGCCCACCTCACATCAAGCTGCCTGACCTCTGATTGGAGGAGCTGGAAGCAGAGCTAGGAACCTCTCTGGTCACTGCTCAGATCCTTGCTGGAGCTCAGGACCCTCTCCTGTTGGCTGCAGCCTCTTGTAGACAATCCTGGAGCCCAGTGGGGAGCCTCTCCTACTGGCCACACACCATGCTGCTGAGGGTCCAACTGCTGCCTGCAGGTCCTACTCCTTTAGGCTCTTCTGGGGCAACTGCTCCCACCCTGCTAGCCCAGCTCTTTAAAGCTCCTTCCTTGTAATTCCTCACTAGTCTTCCCCCTTGAGTCAGCCGTGCTGCCCCTTTTATCCCCCTCCAGGTGACCCAAGGGGCCAATCAGGGGACATGGAGGGTGAGTCTCTGGGGCCTAATTGGTAAGGAAAGGGAATTCCAAACCCTCCAATCATCTTTTACCCCTTCAAAACCCCTGGCTCAAATCATTACCAGATTGGTGCGGAAAGGGAATCCCAAGCCCTCCAATCATCTTTTGCCCTTTCAAAACCCCTGGGCTAAGTCACTGCCAGCTAGCCCATCACGAATGAATAAATAAAAACCTCTCAATGCTTGGTATGTACTACCTGGAAATAGCAAGCTGTAATGGAGCAGATTTGCCAATTACATTATTATATGAGTGAATTCAAAATAATTTGAACACCAGTGAGAATCTTCCTGAAATTAACTATCATATCATATTTGATATGCTAAATGTAGTAATGAATACTTCCACATATTACAGTAAGTAAATAGAGTACCTGAATGAAAACAATAAGAACATCAACATAAACGTATGTGCATACATAACATGTCCCCAATTTATCTGGGTTAGGAAACCCATTCACATAATTCACTGTGTGTAGAGTATAATAGCCCTTGGTAAATCCATATTACATATCGCTGTTACCCCTTTTCCTATTTTCTGCAACTGTTTATTAACCATAGATCTTGCACCTTGTCTGAACATAAGTACTGACATTTACTGGGTCAAACCATAGGTTCATCCTGCCCAGTAATGTCAGACAGTGGCAGATAGTAGATGCTGAAAGAGAGAGTGAACAGGGTATAACTAGGATTTTTTCCATTGTTCCTCTCTGTAACAGAGAGCCAGAGGGTCCTGTTACTTTAAGGGTGAAGGAGCAGCAGGGAGAGCCCCGGGGGGCAGAGGGGAAGCTGCCCATTATGAGCAGCCAGGGAATGAGTACCTGGGGATTTACCTATTGCCAGCCATTATTACAGGAGAGGCCAGCAGCAGTAAGTTTCCGCAGAGGTTAACCTAGCAAGCTAAATCAGGAAACACCTGTAGCAGCTCAGGGAGTCACATGACCAAATGGGGTGTGGCTTCTAGCCATATAAACCCAGGACTTGAGCCAGGGTAGTCAGTTTGGGTCTGGGAGCTGTTGAGGAAAGAGGTTCAGGATAGGAGAGTTGTAAAGGAGCTTCTGGCCAGTATCTGGACTACCTTGGGGAGTAATGCAAGGAGAATGCTGCTGACTTTCAGGGGGCTAGGACTCTGTACAGGGAGGAACTGAGTGATAAAGCCACAGAGCTGGGATTTGGGCTCAGGGCCAGTTGTGGAGTTGTATAGCCAGATGGCTTTTTTAATTAGTTTCCTACTGGTGGCTTGTGTGGGACTAGAAAATGATACTTTGGAGGTCCCATTAATGCCTGAGGGGCATGTGACTGCCTTGAGCCCTGCTAGGGGTCAGGCTCAAAATACAGACAGTGGTCTGGGAGCCTAGCGTTGCCTGGTTAAAGGTAGAGAACTTGGGGGAGGGCAGAGCTTGGGGTCAGAGGGTCTAGAGCCTGCAAAGGGTGGGGAGTTGAGGGCCTGTGAGAGGCCAATGGGCCAACTATTCATGTTGTATCAAGCTGTATTTCTAGGAGGTAGGGGGCAAATGGAGTGAGTAAGCACAAAGGTGCTATAATGGCAGCAGTAGCCTGTGAAGGTAAGTCTTCCTTTCACCTCCCCCTGTCTACCCCTTTGTGGTCTACAGCAGCCAGCATACTGCTGTGGCCCCATCCTGGGTTCTCAGTGAGCTCACTATACTTGTGGTGACCCAGCAAGCCAAAAAAGCCAACAAAATTTGGAATTCAGGCTGTTGTTCCACCTTTGAATTGTCCTGATATGTCTATTATTGTCACACCTATGGTATGCAGCTCATTCTAAATTACTTCTTAGCAGGATACATGCTAATGATTCTCTTGTTCCAAGACTCCTGTAAGATCAATGTGTACTGAGCTAACTGTGGGTTGTGTTGGTCTTGATTTTTTTTTTTCTTTTTGTAGTTAGTCACAAAAGGTTAAATGCCTATCCGTATCTCCCTCAATATATAGTCTTGAATAGATTTTTTCCAGGTGACACCTTGACTTTAATACTTACTGTATGAACTGCTTTTCAGCTATGGAAAGTTCCTCCAAGAACAAAATTCACATCTGACAGTTTTTAGGCAAATTTGGGTCTGATTGGAAGATGTCTCCATGAATGAGATGTTTGTGCTTATTCTACTTAACCTCTTCTAAATGGGTCAGTGGAGAGATGTGATGCTTGAATAAGCATAGCTAGCATTATTAACCTTTAGTCTGCTACAAGTTTTCTACTTTTGTACAGGCAGTCCTCAGACTACTGACACACCGTTGGTTCCTGAAAACGGTGTCTTAAGTTGAAACGTTGTAACTCGGAACAGATTTTTTTCCCCATAGGATACAACATTATAAATGAGAGATTGGTTCCTAAACCGAGGCCCTGTTTTCACGAAAAATAACCCAGAATTTTGTGCTCAATCAGTGTTAGATGAGTAATATAGCTACATTAACATTCATATTGTAAATAGCAATCACATTGATTTGGAAGGACTTCTTTGAGGTGACCTTGCTGGACTTTTTGGAAGGTTCTTGGCTGGATTCTCCTCAGTCCTAGCTGCAGGTTTTCCTGGAGTCTTGGCTGCTTTCTTAAAGTGTCCAAGGAAGTTTGGACAGATGTCCCCCAGGGAGATGGGTGACACTGACTTCTTCGCTGGCATGGCATCACATCAGATCAAGCATTGTAAAGTTGAAACTGATGTCAGAAAGTTGAAATCGGGTCAACTTAGAAACATTGTAAGTTGAGGACTGCCTGTAGTCCGTGAACATGCCCTATAGCTATTATGGCCATTCTGGGGGGACAAATAACCTTTTTCAATACCTTATGAATGGCTTTAGTTTCCTAATATACTACTACTAATTGAATTTCTGTACATTCCTCTCTAAATAAATACTAGGGTCCTGATGCTTGCTAGCACCATCACAGTTCAAGCTGATTCCAAAGCCTTAGTGACAGATAGTAAAGGAGGGCAGAAAAGAAAAGCAGAAACAACATACTGCTTCCTGCTCCTTTAAAGGTACATGGTGTCTTTCCAGCAAACCAAGCGACTTGCTTCAGCCATGTGGAAAAACAGAAGGTCTGCACTTGAAGCTTGTAAACCAAGTAGTGTGCAAGCAAGGTGGCTGGTTTCTCCAGTTCTGTCCCAGACACCCGTTTCTTCTGGCTTGGAAAAAGTTAGGGACTTGCCATAGTTACCACCTCATACCCTTGATCCATATACTTTTTAGAGAGGTATGCATTCCTTTGTTAGCCATTGATGCTGTTTATCTTTGCAAGTTCCACAATCAACCCCAAAACCTTAAAAGGCATATCCTTCTTTAGCAAGTACAGCAGAAAAAAAAATTGAATACAGAGCCTAAGACATTATAGAGAGACTAACCCATCAAAATATCATGGATGTGATTGTAAATTGCATCTGACTGGAGGGCCTGATGGCAATGTGGTGGGGCTACTCCTGGTGGGATAGCTCCTATAAAATACCACTGTTACAACCTCCAGAATAAGGTGGGTATAGGGCACCTCAAAACTCTAGATCCCACTGCCTTGTGGATATTCCTTAGCTGGAGGATGTGCTTCTGTCAGTGTAATGTCTCTTAGCCTGTCTCTCTGAGGCATTAGGCAGGCAGCAGCAGTTCTTATCTGTTGCTCTTTAGCAGAAGCTACAACCATTGAGGCATTGAACACTTGGATTCTGTCTCCATGGTTTAAAGAGGGGATGGGAGGTCTTGAGCAGCCTCCACTCCTTCGTACTCCTGCCTAGGCATATGTGTTGAAAGTCTTGGTGTAATGGTTGCAGGACTCTGTACAAGCAGATTAATCAGGCACCTAACTAGATTTCTTCTGCATATGCCATGATCCAAAGGATCAATGGTTGCCCACCTATCACTTTAAAATACGCGGCCTCCTCCTGTTCTACTCAGCCTTCGAGAGACTTCAGCTGGAGTACTGTGTCCAGTTCTGGATGCCACACTTCAGGAAGGGTGTGGAGAAGCTCGAGAGAGTCCAAAGGAGGGTCATGCACATGTAGAGGCCTAGAGACCAGGTCATACAAGAGCTAAGGGACTTGGGACTGTTTAGCCTGGAGAACAGAAGACTCAGAGGGGACTTGGTGGCAGCCTATAAATATATCAGTGGAGTATATTAGGGCATGGGGGAGCAACTATTCACCAAGACCCCCCAGGGTAGGACTAGAAACAATGGGCACAAGTTGACTGAAGATTGCTTCAGACTAGACATAAGAAAAAACTTCTTTATAAGTTGCGTACCAAGGGTTTGGAACAGGCTCCCCCCAGAGGTGGTACAGTCGCCCACTCTGGCAATCTTCAAAAAGCATCTTGATGCCCATTTTGCTGGGGTCATCTGAGCTTTAGTTAAACCACCCCTGCTACCATTTTTCAGTGCATGGACACTGATACATGAGACACTGGAGTCTGCTGGAACATGGTAATTACTACTTTCCACCAGACTCGACTAATCAAGTCTGCTCTGATGGGCTATTATTACAGTCAGAACAGACTTGCTGCTCGTATATAGGTGTCCAAAGATGTAACAGTTCTATTGCGCATTTAACTTGTAGCCCATGTGCTGTTCTCTATCAGCTGGTTGAATCTCTCTAATCACAACCATCCATCTGATTAAAGTTATACTTATTGTGTCACTTCTTTAATAGTACTGCATGCAGCAATCCAGGGACAAAGTGGAACCATGTGGTGTTGGGACCCAGATGGCCCAGCCACTTGCACCTGCAACAAGAGAATAAACATTTTTGATCAGCTCTAGTTTTAAGGCGGTGGACCACATTGAATTAAACAGGATTTTTGGCAGATAATTATGAAATTCACAGAAAATTACTGTATATGGACAAGAGGGAAATGTTTCCTGACTTCCTAATGACAATGTTGGCATTAAGGATGACAAGAAATGAATTATCTCAAGAGGATATGTGGCAGGATCTGGCTAGAAAAGGAGGAAGCTCCCAATCTCATCTTCCATTTTCCTGGTCTCCCCACATACAGCCAGAGCCTCCTACCCTGTTGGGAAGACCTGATGAAAAGTGATCTCTGGAACATCTGGCTCGGAACACACTCATCACACTGACTTCTAGGCAATTAAGTTGTTATCTGTCCTCTGCTTGTTTTTCCCAATTCCTGTATGCATGATTTAGTGTATATTCATTTATCAGAAAACTGTGCTTTCCTCATCTCCAGCAGGATAGAACTTTCTCAGCAAGACCTATTTTAATGCTTTAATAATGATGATGCTCCTGTAAAAATAACAAAAGCAATTTTTCAAGCATCTTCTGTCCATGCAGATAAGGGGACTCCTCATGATCAAAGTTGTTCTTATCTACATGAGGAGCTGATGCTTAGACAATCACTTTCATCAGCTTTGTATGTGAATTGTCACTTTTAGCATTAAAATGTATCCCTGAAAATGAGGGAGGAGGGAATAGCAGGGAGGAGACTTCTACTGGTTTTCTTAATTCTAAGCAAGATAGTTGCACTCCAGGAATCCATACTTTTAATTTGCTTTAGGGGGAGGGAAGAAAAGAGAACTGATGTAAAAGACTGGAGATGTGGACTGAAGCTTTTCACTTATACTCTAGGGCTGAAATTCTTCCAAAGTACTTCCTGAAGAATGAAGGTGATATGGGAAAGCTAAGGAGACCAAACTGAAGTCCTTCACTAGGTAGGTGAAAGCTATTTTATCATATTTGTTAAGCACAAGCATGAACATACCCTGCATATGCAAATTAGAGGCAAGAAATATTAACAGTAATTGT